CAAGCATCCAGTTATTAAACTTGCTCATTGCAATCGACAATATCAGTTGCATGTTAAAAATTATCTTTTAACAAAAGATATTCTAGAGCAATATGTGTGTCCAAAATGTGATGGGATCCTTAGAGATGCTGTTCAAATCAGCTGTGGCCATTGGCTTTGCCATGGTTGTGCTGAAGAGATATTCAAGAAGTAAGTCTAATCTCTCAAAATATTCTCCTTTATAAGTTTATTATTACTTAGAGAAACAATACCATATTGTCCAAGAACAGACTGTGGAGAAGAATTTACTAATGAAGAAGGAAGACCAGTACGTCAATGATTAAATCAATTAAATGCAATTTAATGACTTCATTCTTTTTAGTTCTTTCCTGATCGGTTCATTCGTAAAGAGATCGATCGTGTGTCTATAATGTGTTCAAATCATAAATTTGGATGTGACTGGAATGGTAAAATTAGCGAATTTTTAACGGAACATCTCAACAGCTGTGCTTATGAAAAAGAAGAGTGTCCTCATTGTAAAGAGTGTTTCTTTTTATTTGAGGTTTGTAGTTAAAAGCAACCTTGTGGTTACTTTGATATGTACATGTAATTTCACCAAACATCATAGATATAATACACAGACCTGTCTGTGTATTATACACAGATAGGTCTGTGTATTAAATCTATGATAGCATTCAATATTTTCAAATATTTTTTTTACTCATATTGCATGGCTGATTTTAACGAGTCCTTTCTTTTTTTAGTACCAGTCTCATGTTAATCGATGCCCTATTATAGATTATGAACAATCAAGCAGTTACCCAATTGAACCAGAATCTCATTCTTTTGGCTATTCACCTGAAGTTAGTATATAACTGTAATATACTGTTCAGTACAAAATCTTTGGTGGGGGTACATTTGACAATTGCCATTTCATCAAGTGCAGTTGCAGTGCAATAAAAATGTCCCTAAAATTAAAAAAGCAGATGTCATGCATGCCAAATAAATGTAAAAAAATCAGAGAAACCCAATTTACAAATTTTGAGGGCCATAAGCCTCATGAATGAATTAGCCCAATATCTTTTCATTTTGTAATCTTCAAGGAATACTCAATCAGTACGTGTATGCATATTGTCTGATTGTCTGATCATGCTTTTTCCTTTTGCTTCCACAGGAATACAGTGGACCAGGTCAGGGTGGCTCTGTTCAAGATCTCACTAACATATCACCAGCTTTATCAATTGATTCAATTTCATCACTTACCGGGGTAT